TGTGTGTGTGTGTACACAGGCATTTCTTTACATGTGTGTGTGTGTGTGTGTGTGTATGTGTGTGAGAGAGAGAAAGAGAGAGGGGTGGGGGAGGGAGAGGAAAAGAGGAGGGGGGCGTATTTCATACGCTGATTCAAAGGAATAATGTTCAGTGTGAGCGTTCGAAAAGGGTGCAAGTGCTCTTTTTGTAGAGAGTAGCCTAGGCTGCGTCTGTTGAGGAAATCATGTAGACCTCTATATAATTTTTGTTGTTGTTATGGGTTTTTGTGGGGGGGGGGGGGTTTATTGTATTGATATGTAGAACAGGATGGGCAGTTTTAGGTCTTTGGGATAATAATGAAGAAGAATATTCCTAATAAACATCTAATCTTCCCTTGAATTGTGTGTACTTTAAGATTTCCGGAGGTTTTCGTTTTCTATGTGTGCATAAATAACTAGATCTAGGATTGCCGAGGAAGTGGTTTTAATGAAGAGACATGACATACAAAGCCTTCAGTGGGCGGAGAGTGCATACTTAGACATTATGCTGTCTCTCGTTCTTGTAGTTTTCTTTCAAGTTATGTAAGATTCGCGCGGAAGACATGTTTACGTCGTAGCACGGGGATGGCTGGCATGTGCTCTGGTATAGTTTGCTCCTTCTTTTCTATCATCAAGCTTTTATCGTCCTCGTCTGCTCTCCTCCTTTTTTTTTGTTTTGTTTGTTTGTTTGTTTGTTACTTTTTTTGTACTACTACTTAATCTTTGGCATTTGTATGACCCAATTGTGTTGCAAGTGGCGTCAAACATTTACTAAAACTGAACAAACATCATTACACAAACAGTTGGCAAGTGAGAGTTCTTGTACTTTTTTACGTGTTTTTTTTATCAACTGCCGACATATATGTGGTGTAGTAGTTCACTGTTCTGCCTTGCTTGCAGTAGACGCGAGTTCGATTTCCATTGGGGAAGATGGTTTCTCGAAGAGCTCCATCCATGTGTTGTGATGCTGTGTCCCCGACAGACTACGGTGAAGTTTGTCTATCGGGAATGACGATGTAACAACAAAAAACGACCACTATCAGTGCAGTTAATAAATAAAGATAATGTCCCTTGTTACTTAATCTTGCACTTTCAGATATCTCTCTCTCTCTCTCTCTCTCT